ATGCCTCATCCACTTTCGGTCACATCCTTGCCAAGAGGTATTGCAGTCTTGGGAAGGTTTGGAGAAAAGAAACGAAACCTCGTGAGCTTCTGAGCAGAGACTCGGGACTTGGCTGTTCCATCTAGAGGGAGGCCCAGAGGTGCCTGATGGAAAGAAGTGGGCTGAGGAGCTTGGGGTTCCGGTGGGAGGGGGAAGGGTACATTCCCAATTTCCAGATTTCCCCACACCATGGTAGGACTGACTTCCTCCAAGCTGCCATCACCCTCCTCCAGCTCCTGTGTATAAAAAGCACTGCCGCCTCCCTTCCCTCACACTCCTCTCCAGGGGCCGGAGGCAGCTTCATGCCCAGCCCCAGCAGCATGGCCGCCAGTGAATGTGCCAGTTTCCCCATGACAGGTTTGCTATTCACTCCTCCTCCCAAGAACAGAATTGGGACCACCTACAGGCCCCCATCTAAATGCCCGTTTGTACAGTGTGTAAATCAGAGGATTTTGGGGGTCCCAGAAGAAGTCACCCCAGCCTCATATGTGTTGATGGGCCTCTGAGTGGTCCAGGAGCTAGCTGGGTATTGGCCTACACAGTTGCCATATTTGGCTGAAGGTAGCTAGGCTTAAATCATCAACAGAGATGACTGAGCCAGGCACACTGCTCCATAGAGGGGTGACCAGAGTGAATGGGGACAGGCTACCAGGAGCGAGGTGCCAGAGTCTCGATCTTTATGTGGAAGTCCTCTCCTCATTCCCTCTGCCTCCCAACCACTCAAGGCCTCGCCTGTGCAAACCTTCCTCTCTCTAGCCTTCTCTGACCTCTCTTCCAGGCAAAATGAGTTTTTCATACACCTCTGATGTATTAAATATGACTGACCCTGTGCTGTAGAATGATGAGTGTGATGCAGGCATGTTGATACAGTGGAAAGGTCCAGGCTTAGGGGCTGCACAGCCCTGAGGCTCAGTCCCAGCTTGCCCACTCAACATTTGCCGAAGAGGAACCCAGGCCCCAGCACGGAGGTGCCTCTGCCCCCGTCTGTCCGAGAGGTCCTGAGGGCAGGAACCACACTGTGGACACACCTGCTGGCGTCTGCACTCAGTGAAGTCATTGCAGGGAAAGGATCTGGAGAGTCCTTGGCATGAGTGCAGGTCTGAGCTGCTGTGCCCAGGACCTGCTGGTGCCACCTTCTATAGCACCACAGTATGCCTGTGCCCATCCCTTCCAGGGAACCCTGAGAGGCACTGTGGGCCCTTTCCTTTATCAGTCTCATCCAGTCCATTACTGAATTCTGCTCTTTTTTAATTTAAAAATGACTCCTTCCTATTGATTCCAAATTGCTAAATCAGGAGATTCCAAAGTTTAAAGGTTTATTGTCATCTACTTTTTAAAAACACTTCTTATTTGAATTTGTCACCACAAATGTACATTCCTTTTAAAATAATTTTTTAGTTTAAGAAAGATCAGTTTTTAAAGGCTCTCCTTTGTCCAGGAGTATCAGGCTCCCTGCCCAGGCCCTCACCCTGTTCCATTGTGTGTGGTCTCTGCCCCCATCCCTCCACCCCACACCCCGCTGCACTCCAGGCTTCCCAGGCCCTCCTTGCTCTGTTGCTACCCTTTGGCTTGAGAATCTGTGTAGTTCTTCCCTTTTTCCTTCCATACCAAGTCCTCCCACCTCCATCCTCTCTAGCTTGGCTGCCTCTTCCTTCCAGACTCACCCCAGATGTGTCCTCCCCCAGGAAGCCTTCCCTGATTCCCTGCCTGGCTGGGCTCCCCTCCTCTGTTCCCCTGGGGCTCCTTCTCCCTGGCTTAAGTGTCTGCTGGCCTCACCGGACTGTGTACCCTCTGAGGGCAGCTGGGACCTCACCCAGTCAGGCACATAGGAGGTCCCTCATGCTTGTGGCATGCGTGCACCTTCTGACCCTGTGCTCTGTGTGTGTGCAGAGGCCTGCTCCCTCCCGACCTGTCGACTGTAGCTTGCCCACTCCAACCCATGGCATGCTCTGCCTCTTCACCCATCAGTCCATTGTAAAAACACTTTTTCACTGAGAATCTTCATCACAGTTTGTGATTTAATAAAGCTGCCCTTTGTATTGCCTTTGAATCTGCAGCGCCTGCGCGGCTTCTTGGAGATGCTCAGGGAAACTGCGCTCCAGTTAGTTGGGATCTTGGGGCCACAGACTGGGACACAGCTCTGAGATGGCCCAATTCCTTACAGAGCCACAGGGGAGCTCAGTCAGGCAATAACAGCCTGGGGCTTCCATGGGCCTCTAAGGTCCCCTAACTTGGTGGAAGAGCCTGCTGTGAAAGCTCTGTGGTATCAGGGAGAGAGACAGTTATGAGATCTTTAGGAGAAACAGCCATAGGAAAACACAGAAACAGTTGAGATTGGCTGTCAGTCTTGTTAGGTGTGTTGGGAATAACAGCCGTTTGCATTATTATCTGAAAACAAATTGGCGAATGGGCTAAACACAGTTGTGCCCTTAACACCGCCCAAGTTAGACAAGACATAAATGCAGCTGGAAATGAGAATAACAATGAGAACCAGGATACCAACAGGTCCGTGGAAGGTCTATCACGTGCTCACTACAGACAGCATCTCTTTCCAGGCTCTTACTAGCACAGTGCAGAGGAGAGACCCACCCTGATCCCTCTTCCAGTGAGAGGCTGGCTCTAAAGAGCAAGCTGTAGCACTAGGCCACTCTGAGGTCTTTTTAAACTTTATTTCTCAATCCAGGGTTTTTATCGATTTGTTTATTCTTGTGCAAGAACCCGAGCAGGTAGAAGGACGACTAAGCCTTGGTCCTTGAGTCAGATCGGAGCTGACAGATCAGTAGGAGGCAGGCAGGTGGGTGGGCTGAGGAGCAGGAGGCTCCCTGAAGGCGTGCGGGGCTGGCGGGGGAAGAGCTAGCCTGGAAATGTAACAGGACGGTAGAGAACCTTGCAAGAGCAAAAGGAGAGAAAAGCCATTCAATACCGGAGGAGAGAGCTTGAGGAAAGGTAATAAGGAGTAGGACAAATGTAAGTCAATTCTAGGATTAGTGTCAGCCTGAGGCTCTGGAGAGCAGCCCAGAGATATTGACAGAGCAGGGAGAGCAGGGATTACACAAATAACCGATTAAAGAACATGATGGGGCGGGATAAAGAGCTCCAATGTCAGCAGGGGAGGGAGCAGTGCAATGCAGCCTGTCCTGAAAAGTCCTGAGCCTGGGCGTGGGAACGGAATGTGGCTCTGGGTCATACTGCAAAAGAGAATGGCATATTTTCTGGGTTACAAGAGGCTTTAGTGGAGGTGTGTTGAGGACTGGGGCTGCACTCTCAGGGCATGTCCTGTCACCGCAGAGCCTGACTTCACCTATCCCTGGGCGTGGAAGGAAGAGCACTCACAAGGCAAGTGATCCATGTGTGGCGACCTGTCCAGGGTGGTGTTCTTACAGAAAAGGTGCAAGAATGGGAAACTGAGAGAAGAGTGGACTAATAGTTGTCACCTAGAGGATGGTTCTCAGATTCACCTGGCCTAGCCCAGAACAGAGCTGATGCCCCAAATAGTGTTTAGATCTCCACAGAAGGCCTTCCCCTAGGACCTGCCCCTCCGGCTATTGACCAGTAAGCCCTGCAGATGAACCCACAGAAGGAGATTTTATAAAGGAAGGAAGAAAAGGAGGAGGGAGACATAGGCTGAGTGTGAGCAGCCTCAGCCGTCAGGCAGTGAGGAAGGGGTCTGCAGGAGGGGAGGACAGCGGCTGAGCGCCCGCCCTGTAAGGAGAAAAATCAGTTCTCTAAGACAAAACGGCAGCTGCCAAAACAGAGTGGACCAGGAAGACACGGTCTCAGTCTTCATGTGAGGAAATGTGAAATTTTAAACAGCAGTCGATAAATGAACTGAAGTGGGAATATGGAAAAAATAGTGATGCAGGGAGGTGAGCATGGAATTTGTATTTTCCATCGAATTCCGCAGTTGATACTACATTTGTCTCCCCTGTGAACTTGATTCTGCAGTGGAAGAACATGTGTATGCGTGTGCACACATGCTTGTGCTGTGGCAGCGAGAGCCCCCGCCCTTCTCTCCTGCATCCCACGGCTCACACATGCACGTCAGGTCCCCCCGCAAGCACATTGTCTACTCTCCAGGTCGGGGCCATGGCTCACCCTTGCTTGAGGGGCACTGAGCTGTGCACAGTGCTGGCATGGCACAGAGTTCATGGTACTTCCAGGCTGACCTGTTGCCAGGTATGTACCCTTCGCTCCTACAGGGTGACTGTCGGCCACATGGCTGGCTTCTACATGTTGGGGCATTTGTTCCAGGCTGGCTTGAGCCATGTGATGTTGAAGTCCACTCCCCAACACAGCTCCCTCAGCAAGGTCTGTGCTCAACCATTGTAGGGCCAGGAAGAATTATGCATCAGGACCCAGCCCAGGACAGACACCATCCCATTGCAGGGCATGCTCACACACATCCACATGCACTCAGACTGGGACCCTGCAGACGCACCTGAACATCACATGCACAGCTTGGGGATGCAGAAGAAAACCAGAGTACCAGAGACAACCCTCACAGGCACAGGGGAAAGGCGCAGCCGCCACACAGCCCGTGGGCGTTATCTGTGGACCAGCTCGCCCCAGCCTCACAGACTTGAACAGCCTCCACCATGGTCAACTCCTGTTGACTTTTAACCCAACTGCCAGATACAAAAAACTAAAAAGGAAAAAAGAGCCCACTAGACAAAGGTTCGCAAAAACGGAATAATCCAGTGTGAAGATTTTGTAGGAATCCATGTCACGGTGTCTAACTTTCGGGCTACTGGCTCATTTCCTTTCATCCTGACTGAAATGTATTTACAACATGCCAATTGCCATCAGGTGTCTGCGCCAGGGCAGGCATGGGCAGTGGGAAGGACCCCCTCTAACTCCCACCTGGTGGCCCCCAAAGCTGGGCAGGGCAGAATCTTGACTTGTGGCAGCTCCAGGGTCGTACGCTGACCCTTCACTCATCGTCTTTTCCTTTTCTCTCCCAGGTGTTCCACTGTGTCCACTTTGAGTGTCCAGAGCAGCAGAGCAGCCAGAAGGAAGAAAACAGTGAGGAATCGGGGACAGGGGACACCAGCCTGGCCAGTCAGCAGCTTGACCCCCATGCCCTGCGGGCACCCAGTGGCAGCTCACTGCCCTCCAGCCCAGGCTCCAGCTCACGCTCCCCCAACCGGCAGCACCAATAAAGGAGGCAGCAGGCCTGGTGTGACTTGGTGGGCTCCAGCGACCACAGGAAATGGTCTCCTCCCTGAGCAGTGGTCTTTGGTTTCTGTCCCCGCTCCCGCCCCCGCCCCCGCCCCTTCCCAGGGAGGAGCAACCTGGCTGCAAAAGCGGACACAGAACAAGTTTTCTCCCAAGGACAGAAAGGGGCTGCTTTGTTCTCAATTTGTAAAAATCAGGCTGGTCTCCAGGGGGAGAAAATGGGTCTTCAATCTTCATCAAGTCCACCATTAACACCCTACCTCTCTAATCTAATCCAGGCGCAGGGAACAGGGGGAAGTAATAGACAGGCCTGTGTTGGAATACAAAAATGGCACAGGAATGCTCAGGCAGAGGAGGAAACATCAGGCCTTTGTTACCTGGAGGCACCTTTTAGGAAATGGGCTTCCACAGAGTGCTTACCCTTATGGAATACATTGCCCTGGCAACTAAATGATTTTTTATTTCTTTTAGTTTTTCTCATTCAGTGAATCGTAGGTGTTCCAGATCTATTTGAAATGCTCAAACAGCAAATCACTTGTTTTAATCCCTTTTGATGCTGTAATTTTCCGTCCTTGGTTTTGAACGGTTCAGCTTGTGGGGACAGAGACCCATCATGCATGTCTCCTAA